TTCTTTCGCCTCTAGACAGGGACTCCACTATCTGTGTTGGAAGACAAGAACTATGTCACTGTCCAGCCCCCCAAACCTGCGACCCGCACATCCCATCTTGCAACTTGCAACTTACAACCATCGCTGTCAAGTAGATGCAAGCAAGGTCTACGCACAGCCACCTCCTGGTATACACACGATCTGCATTGGTGGAGCGCTTAGCTGTGACTGAACCGCGACCTTAGGCAGTTGAGTCTCGGTGTCCCAGCAGTTCTTGTCAGCATGACTGGTGAAACGATCCTCATGAGGGGCACACGAGGTGGGCAGAACAGACGTGTTGAAGCAGGAAGGGCGTCATTTAGAAGAGGTGTCGGTGGTGGGTTTGGTGGTGGCGAAGGAAGCAGTGTGGATCTCGCGGGACATAATTCGCGCAGGAGCAAGGAGGCATCAACCAAAATCCCCGGGCTGGCCCATGCAGGTAGAGCAGACGACGCCGGCCTACTTGACTCTGTCAGACGCGAGTGCTGTCGTCAGGGACTCAGCTGAGTTGCTGCCAACTTGCTTGTCGGAAGGTTTACACTGTTACTGTTTACACACTTACACGTCATTCATTGCACAGATGGCTCGGCACAACATGCCACTGCATAGCAAACTCACACTTTGGAAACGAGGTGGCAAACATCACCATGCCCGACTTCGACTTAGATTTCGGCGACCTTGGAGGCACGTTGACGGAGTCCGTCTTCTTGAGTGGCATGCTGCCTTCTGCGACTAATCCCTTCCCCCTAATATTTAAGCGGGGGGCCCCCTCCGCCCCCCCCCCCCCCCCCCCCCCCCCCCCAAAAAAAAATGCGTTTTTTTTTTTTATCAGGGGGAGTTTTTATCGAAATGTCATAATTAATTAGACTTCAGGGTTACTCAAGTAATCAATTGCTTAAGTGTGGTGTAAACTGAAAGAGAGAAAGAGAGAAAGAGAGAGAGAGAGAGAGAGAGTGAGAGAGCGAGAGAGACCGAGAGAGAGAGAGAGAGAGAGAGAGAGAGGGGGAGAGCTCAGCTCTCGCAGCAAGGCTCAGACAGAGCCCTAAACCCTTAACGCTAAACCCCAAACCCTGAACCCTCTGAGGGTTTTATTGGTGTTGAGGGGTTTAAAAATTTATTGGAGGCCTGACCCCCCCCCCCCCGAATTCAAAATGGGTATTAAATAGATTTGAGGGTGACCAGCCAGCGAAATGCTCAGTGAACTGCTCCAAGCCTTCGAAAGAGATTTGCAGCTATGTGAAAGGCAGGGATCGGGAAAGCAACCATCATGACACAAAGCATCCTCAAACCCCGAACTCTCGCGATTTGTCAGGCCTACTATCCTGGGAGGAGCCGGCAGAGATCGGGGTGCTGCAGTACGTCGTCTACTTTGGTGCCGAGGCTTGCCCCGGGTGATCAGAGTTCAGGGGCCTGGGCGTTCGGCTCCGGGCGCGTGGCGAAACGCCACACCTCGGTCTTCCTGCACAGGCCACCTTCTCTGGTGGCCAGTGGAGCTGTAACGGCAGCATCATGGAGGTTCTGCATGCTACTGGGCGCGACATGGAGGGAAGAGGAGTTAAGTGCTCAGGGACCTTCGAGTTGTTTCTCGTAGTCTGTGTCACTGTGAGTCGTTTTTTTGAAGATCTTGGTCTGCAAGTCTGGGCCCCAGGCGTAATCCCTGGTGTTTGAGCACTGCTGTTTACCAAAATCGGGGTGTAGCGAGACCCACCCAGACCGAAGCGCGCTCAATTTGATCGGCCTCAGATATGACCCTGTTCAAACCCCAAACAACCAGAGATCTTGCACGCGTAGCAAAGTCCCTAAATAACTCCAACGAGATGCACAGGAACAAGCAGAGGAGTAAGTTGACCCCTCAACTCTCAGGATAAAAACGACACGCAATGGTGCCCATCGCGGTATTTTGGAACCGTCGCCATCGGAACCGTCGGGCCCTGAGGTTGACGGAGCGGAGTTGAGGTTAGGAGTTCAGGCGGTGTTGGAGCTAGGTCCAAGTTATTCCAGGACACTCCACTGCTTCCTCGTTATTTGGTCGAGAGATTCCTCGTAGCTGTCGGAGCTTTACCGGGGGGCTGCGGCTGGGACAGTGTAGCTGTAGCACTGGAACCTGCTTTTGGCACTCGGTCCCCGCCGACTGTAATGTATGCCGCGTGCCTACTTCAGGAGTCGTTGTATAGTATGGAGCAAGCGAGTGCACCACTAGAATCTTAAGGGCATCTCAATACTACGCAACCTCCTGGACGCATACCAAACGAAAAAGAGACCCTAAACTCAATTTGTCACTCAATATGGGGTTTTCTGGCTGCCTTTGAGGACAACCTCACTGTACCTGCAGACACCGATCTGGGCACAGACACCCACTTCTTGGTCTACACAAAGCGTCTCGGCTGGTTGCAGAGTTCACCATGATTGTCCCTGTCCCTTGCTCGAGTATTTCTAACAGGTATAAGCATATAGGCCGGAACACACCCTCCCAAGTCTCTACAACTCGACCAGATTTTCAAGAGCTGTGCCAGCCATGCCACCTAAACCCCTGACTCCCGAAAAGCACCTGAAAAGCCACCTTTAAAAGGAGCCCCCCTAAACGAAGCCGAAAGCTCCCGGCTCGAACAACAAGCATCAAGGTCGGCCCTCGTTGAGCAAACCACGCCGGGTGCGCACCTGATTTTTGATGCCTCGTCCTTAGGGCCTTATACGGCCTGAGCTGAGAGTTGAGCTGCAGCTTCAGCCTGTAACGAAAGCTACCCACCCGGCACCTATAATTAAGTGGCTCAGGGGACCAGGAGCCTACACCGTTGTTGAAATTCGGAACTGCTACTTCGAGCGTTTCGTGTTTCCTCTGAGCAGAGCCTGAATTCTGAATTCCCCAGCCAAGGTCGGTGCCAACGTGCAGAACATCAGCTTTGACGGCCAGGCACTGGAGGGCAGCCCAAGAAATCTTTTGGATGCAAAAGTTAACAAAGCGCTTTCCACTTGCTTGGTACCTTCCGTTCGCACACAAACGGAAATCAACCCTTCACGGGCAAAACGCTGAGAGGCGTGTCCCGCTTCCGAGCCAATGATATCGTTGAATCTTATCGTTGCCGATCGGATAATTGGTGTAGAAGGGCAGCATAGGGCAGCATAGGGCAGTCCGGAGAGCTTCGGTCTCAGTGGAGCCCGCTGCAGGATTTGGACTTGGACGACCTCGGAGGAACCCTGAGCTGGGATCCACCGCCATCCCTGCTGCGCGTGGACAGCACGGGCCCCGGCGGCGGAGGGGGGCGGGTGGGGTACTGTGAGGAGAAATTTTGGCAGGGTCTGGCTTTAGCAACGAGGGCACAAACTAGAGGAATTTCTGCCCCCTGAAGCTCGCGTGTCTCAGCAGCTGGTGTGGAACGAGCTTTCTGACGTTGACATTGAGAGGATGGCATACGGTATCATACGGTATGTCGCTTGAACTTGGCAGTGTGCAGAGCGCCGACTCAGCCACCCAACTGAGACTACCATGTCTACCTCTCTCTCGCGGCGAATGGCCTGGGCAGATCACAGATATTGCCCACGCTGGTCGTAGGCGGGAGAACTGCCTAGGCTGCTTGTCGCGGGTGTGTGCTGTTGCTGACCAAGCACGTTTATCAGAGACCAACGCTTCACGGGCAGAGAGACGTGATTATACTTAGGAATGGCGTTTCTATATGTGCCTAATATATCTCGGATCTCGGTCAGGCGACAATGACATCCACGTGCCGGCAGAAACTCCGCGCGGTAATTTCTCCTACTTTGTGGTGTACACGGTGCCTCGGATAGAGGCATCAAGGTTTCAGGTTGCGGCAGCCCTTGTTTTGGAGAGTTGCAATTGCGATTCAGAAGGGCAATTGCGGGCCTCGGCTGCCAGACTCGTCCGCATGCTGCACTTGTTACCTTTTATGTGTTTTCCGGGGTCCCTATACTAGACTGGAGAACTGCGCACGCACACCAACATGCCTCAACACACGGACATGTTCTAGGGGTTAAGATATATTGGCCCGATGGGCCAACCTTAGACGCATGCATGCATGCACACATGTCCGCCGAGCCGCGCACAGAGATTAGATGTGAAGGCTTCTGCCCTCACAGAGCAGACGACGCCATCCTACCGCTTCTTGCATGCAGATTAGATTGGGAATCTTCGGTTTCTTACCTTCCTACCATAGATCGTCAATGCTTCCGCAGGGATGCCTGGGGGCTAGTGCCCGGCAGTTGCAATGGTAGAGCACGTCTGTGGTGAGTTTGGAATGGCTGCAAGGACGCCCTCTTGCTTGCCACAAGTAGTGGGTTCCCGTGTTAGTTGTGACCAAATGTTGTCGTGCCTGTCAAATACATTTTCACGCTGTCATCCAAGGAGCCATCCAGGACACTCCGGGGATTTCGACTTCGCTCCATTTTGGATCTTGGGAAAAGCGCAGTGATGATCCGCGCACCATTCTAATTAGAACATGACTGAAGAGTGTTGCACGTGTGGCCTTAGATCGATTCTTTTGTTGGGGTTCGGCAGAAGGAAGTTCCCAGTGAACTGGTGGGCCAAGAGCCCTACAAGTAATACAATGCAAAACAGGACCCGGTTGGAGCCTTGGCGTCCTAAACTGTTACATGCTCAACAACCCTAAAAAACAGTCCAAACGCATCTTGCCAGGATGAGGCCTCGCGTGCTGCCAACGTCAGCTTTGTCGACGATGACCCTCAGACCACGATTTTTCGCTGGGTACCGCAAGAAGGCTACGGGCTATTTGTGGCAGCGACAGTGAGGGGTCTCGGGACATTTGCTGCTATAACCTTCTGTGGCTGACAAAAACACCGCCTGGAGAATTCAAAGGTGGGGTTTTTCCAGCCCCGACTTTTGCAGAATCCCCAAAGCCCTTGCACCCAGAACCTGAGCCTGAGCTGCGAGGCACTGTAGAACAATTCAGCAGATTAAGCTGAACCAGCGAGTGTTTGAGCCTTGAACTCCCAAATTTTATATCGCTGAGGACTTGGATGAGTTCGAAGTCGGGGGCCTGCTTTCCTGGAGTGACCCCATCGACTTCAGTGAGGTGACGCATTACGAGGTCCGTTCATTCGCCTATTTTAAGCCTTTGGGGAATTGGGATGAGACTCAGGCTGAGTCGGGGTTGCATAGGCGGTTTCTCAGGCGAAAATCCTACAACGTAAATGAGATTCTTGTAAGCCTAAGCCCAGTCCAGCGTAGCTCTGCCCCCCAGGCCTGGCCAAGGGCCCGGATATTTTTTCATTCACCATGCCGATGCCCCACAATGTCTTGTGACAGGTCTACTTTGCGGAAGATCGTTCCGGCCTGGATCCCAGGGCGAGAAAAGGGAAGTTCCGAGCTCGAGCGGGGCATGTTTTCCAGCAGACTGAGAGTTGGATAGCTACAAGCAGCGAGAGCAAAAGCTGTCCTTGCCCTCATTACCAGTTGCAAGTATGTCTGCGGACCGTGCTGCCCAACGCATCGCTGCCAATGTGTAGAGGCTAGTATGACAACGTCGTGGCAGCCCGGCGGCTGTGAGAGCATGCAACTGACTCCCCAAACCGTAAGCCCCAAGTCGAAGGCCTGGACATGTCAAACCTGAGGCACCAACCGCTCCTACCTTGGCAACGTTTCTGTTGGCATCAACAGCTTCGCCCCTGGCCCGCATGCCAGTACCCTGTTCCCGCTCGTTTTCGGCAGTATGTTGATCGCTGTTTCTTGTGATTTAGGGGCAAACAGTTGATGTCTTGCCATAGTCTTGTGCAGCCTTGTGCAGCTTTGGACTTGCCATGTCAAGAGAGCAGGACGTTCCACCGGACACACCTTTGCGTTCTTTCAGCAGCTGGGTCGAATTTATCGCCCATGAGCCCGTGGCTGGCTGTTACCCTACCCGGGACAAGAGGAAACCCCAATCCTGAACGATCTTCCAAAGCTCCCCATAGGGCTAGTTAGCTAAGGCCCAAGTGCCTATTTGATCGTATTTGCGTAGCGTAAGGGCTGTTTTGCATCTTCGGGTAGGAAGACGGAAGACGGCGCATGAAACGCCTGCCCCTGTGGCCCCGTGGCCATGACTAGCTGTAAACGATGATAAGTTAGCCCGCGCGTAGTGCAAACACATTTCTAATGTAGAACACATTGGAAGCCCTTCACGTATTCTCTCAGTCGGAGAAAGATAAGCATGTGTATGAGGGATGTGAATATGAGAAATGCGATTGCGGCCATTTGAACTTCAAGAGTTCATCTCAGAGTAGCTGGCGTCACACAGCGCCGTCGCATGATGGGAATCTTTGTGAGGCCGATGCGGTTTCTGCCAGCGTTGCTTGGCTTAGGCCTTCGCTGTGCAGCTGATTCAGCTGATTCCTGTGGTAAGGATGACGTTTGTTTGGTTCAGGTCGCATGGCCGTTCGCACAGGAAGACATCTCCCTTCCCAAAGCATGCAACTTCAGCTCGGAGACCATGTGGCCCAATGAACTGCAGCAGCCCTACGTGGGAGTGCTGAAGCAGTCGTACAAGAAGGTGGAGCAGTTGCTGGAGGAAACTCTTTCTAAGGCTCCGGCTCCGTGTCAGGATGTGGTGTTGAAAATGAGCTTGTACCCCAAGGCTTCAAACTTGTCAAAAGGAGGCATTCCAGAGGGAGAGGCCTATGCCGGCCAATCCGGCTGTGGCGTATATCTTGTCAGTGATTGGGCGGCCTCCAAGTTCGCGTCAGAGAATACGAGTGCCAATGGATGGGTGCTGATGCCGTTTCCTACCGATGAATACTTGAAAGAAGTACCACGAGAAAGGAGAAGCAACGAGGGGCAGCGCATGGCCAAGGTCCGTGATTATCGGCAAAGTATCGGATTGTAAGCGGGTTTCCGCAGTTTCGGCTGCTCTAAGTAGTCGATATCGTCGATATCAGCTTTAATCCAGGGTCCTTTCGCTGATCCCTTGAAGGCGATTCGCGTAGCGCTGCCGCTGCTCGTGCCTTCCCACATCAAACGGGTGACGTACGCAGACACGAAGTGCGACTCGGGAATATTTCTGCAAGATGCCTTACCCGCCGCTGGAGCTGGTGCGGATCTGGTGGTGTTAATGCATCAACAAAGGTTCGGCGCTCCTCTTAGGAAGGAGTTTCAGGCAGTCACGGATCTCGAGCATGCGCGGAACGAGAATCACTTCGTGTTTGATGACGTGAAGAAACTCGAAGACTTCTTAGGACCAGACATGCTCAATAAACCCGTGAAGCTCTCCGACAATAAATGCATCCTTTGGAACCACGGATCCGCTATTCAAGCTTTTTCGCGGACATGGTCTTGGTACCTTGCAGCTTTCTCAATGCGAACCCAGCTTTCCTTCAATGCAGTCCTTGACGCTTGTGGCCAGAACATGACGGTGAAGTTTCTGCCGTCCAGAGAGGGCGGCCCCTGACCACGACATGCACCAAAAGAAGTTTCACAGATGTCGAACCGAATTTGTCAAAGGCAGTAGCTCCAGCCTGGCTCCAGCCCTGCTTGCCCAAAATCTCCGGACATCATCGGACATCAGAAATATGCCAACCGCAGGATAGATTGGTTTTCGCTGATCTCTGAGTCGATTCCAATAAAGTCAAGAACGATTTCCTTGCGACCCTTCGAACGACCCAAAGCTTGAGCTTGAATGCCAGTGGCATGGAATAAGTTTTCTGGCTAGCAATCTCACATTTTCTCTCACACTGGCTTTCTCGGATTCGATGGTTTGTGTCTTTAAGGGGTTTGAAATGTGTGAGGGGTTGGTAGACCTGGAGCTTTCAAGATGTTTGCGAGGTCAAAATGGCGCTTTTGCCGGCTAGAGTTGTTCTGGAATCTCCCAAATTCCTGAGTCCCAAGCGACACTTCTCAGGTCACCTCGTGGTGTATGCCCGCTCAGAGCTCGCGGAGCAAACCACTCCCGCAGCCGTTCGCAGCTTTGGCGCGCACTTGGGGTGGTTTTGCGGGTCTGGCAGGAAGTTTTGCCCGGGTCTTGTCGGATGTCTTCATGAGACACACAGACACAGACACACATCCTTCAGGGATGGTGCGAAGGGCAATTCAGGTGGGCCTTTCGGTGGGTAAAGTTTAGGGGAAAATGAGCTCGCAGACATCGGCTTAAGGCCCAAAACCATCCGACTTGGCCACTCAAGGCATCATCGAGTCAGTTGCGAGCGTCTCTGCGGTGAACTTCATAGACCTGGACTTGGATGAGAAAGAGCTCGGAGGCCCCCAGGGCACCCCACGACAACGAGGGAAGGATTATGCATCTACTGAATTTAAACCGTGCTAGTCATCGCGTGTGGAAGCAAAGAAACAATATCTGAGAAAGCGGCAGGTAGCGAAGCCAAGTAGTCTATGATGAGCAGCACGTAAACCAGAAGCCTACCATGTGCCGAGCCGTCACTCTAAACCCCGAGGACCATGATTCAAATGTGCCTAAATCCTCAAAGCGTCATTGACACTGAGCCCGCCACCATGATTCGATCACATCCCCTACAGTACCAATGTCCATTCCAGAGGTCAAAGCCTGACCAGGTATAGAGTTTCAGAGTTTCAATAAGCGCCACCCCTCAGCTCGACATCCCTAGCTCCGAATCCGAACCCAAGATAGTCCCCAATCAACATGCTATGCCGGAAGCCTTGAAGCTTTAGAGTTCCAGATCATGTGCCCATACACCGTCTGCCACAGACATGCATCCATCAACCATGGGAGCAGGATGGTGTGTTTCCATAGACTCCGCGCCTGAAGCACGCGTTCTTGATTCGGAGAGGGCTGGCTTGCAGAGTGACTGAGACTTTCTGAGGGTACTTCTTGGTGATGTGCGGATGTGTTGAGGAGTGTTTTTCGGAGGGGCTTTGGGGTCTAGAGGTTGGAATCCTTTGTCGCGTGCTACAACAGTGTGAACAGAATCTCTTGATTCAGACCCCTCCAGCAAAAAAGCCCGGCACAAGTTCTCTACTAAGCTTTGAGACACAAATTCTCAGGCTGTGTAGTGTGAATTTGCGGGCTTGCGGACCCATCTGCTAACGAATGAATAACATTGCAGGTGACCTACTGTGGCAACCTCCGCCGTCTCCGGATCGAGTTGAGACCCTCGTCAGCTCAGCGACGAATGTTGAAGGTGTGCTCTGGATGTCGAACCATCACGGAGTTGCTGTACTGGCACAAACCACATCGCGAGTTCGATATGTTTGGGACCAAGACCGCCCGATTTTGGCTCCCAGGTTCTACGTCGTGTACCTTGCCATCGATGCGGCAGGTGGCGGGCGCTCGCTTGCTGCCGGCAGCCTGGCAGAAGTCTAGCGCTCACTTCTGTAGGGCCCCCTGCCTGATGGTTCCGAGTTCCAAACTGAGCAGCTCAGGAAGTCAGTCGGCTAATAACCCAAGCACAAATTAAGACTGGGAGCAGCACAGAGAACGCCACATCGCACAACCATAGACACATAGACGCGCAGCGACGACACGCAGACAAGGACAGACACAGGCAGGGAGAGAGAGAGAGAGAGAGTGAGACACGGACCGACTCGCTTGTGCACGCCGCTTGGGGCGGCCCCTTCGGGGGCCACGGGCAGTGGAAGGAAGGGAGAGACACGCAGACACGCAGACAAGCAGACAAGACACAGACACACAAACACACACACACACACACACACACACACACCCGCACACACACACACACACACAGACACACACACACACACACACACACACACACCCACACCCACACGCACACACGCACACGCACACGCACACACACGCACACACGCACACACGCACACACGCACACACGCACACACGCACACACGCACACACGCACCACGCACACACGCACACACGCAACACGCAACACGCACACGCACCACGCACACGCACACATGCACACACCACACCACACGCACACACGCACCACCACACCCACGCACCACGCACAGCACGCGTCACGCACGCACGCACGCACGCTCACGCACACACAACACACACACCACACACACACACACACACACACAACACACACACACACATCACACCACAACACACACACACGCACACGCACACGCAACACGCACCGCACACGCCACGCACACGCACACGCACACCACACGCACATCGCACACGCACACGCACACTCACACACACACCACACGCACACGCACACAGACACACACACACACACACACACACACACACACACACACACACACACACACACCCCCACACACACACACACCCACACACACACACACACACACACACACACACACACACACACACACACACACACACACACACACACATTTACCAGCGCGCACACACGCACGCACACACACACACACACACATTTACCAGCGCGCACACACACACACATGCCAGCACACACACACACACACATATACCAGCACACACACACACACACTCACACACATACCAGCGTACACCCACACACACATACCAGCGCGCGCACACACACACACACACACACACACACACACACACACACACACACACACACACACACACACACACACACACACACACACACACACACACACCCACCCGCGCGCGCGCACACATACCCGCACACACACACACACACACACACACACAGACACACACACACACACACCAAAACATCACAGACATAGAGCCCAATCAGAAACGCGCTTGATCCCCTCAACCATGTAGCAGCAAGAGCAACACTTTGTCATTTGTTGATGATGCCTGGAACGAGTTCTTGTACTGCGGGCACAAGGGTACCCAGAGCAGCATACTCCAACCCCCAAAACCCTATAGGAGCGCCGACGTACAAAAGGGAGATGTCGTGTCTGCACAGTTGCCCTGCAAGGCGGAGAAGTGCCGGTTGGTGTGCACCAGACCACGCTGCCAGCAGATGCCAAGCAAGAACCTAAGGGTTGTGGGACGTGTGCTAGATGTTTTGAGTCGTTTCTGGGCTTGGAGCTCGGTTCTACGGATCATTCGGGTTCCGCGCTTCACCAATTTCCAATTACCTGGGCCTGGGCCTGAATGTCCAAGTTCTGCGCGCGCATCTCAGGACACGAGCCTCTCCAACTTCGCCCACTTTGTTGCTGCCTGTCTCAATAGATTTGGAATTGGGATGCAGGCTGTCGGCGAGAGTTAATGTGTTGAGGGGTATCTGAATACAACGTTTCGGGGGAGAAGTGCTGCTTTGTGAGAAAGAGTGAGGATGAGGCTCTTCAGTTTCAGGTTCTTCTGTCCATGCGGAGCTTGCAAGGCTAGGCAGCACCTCAGGGAGATGAGCCTGTGCTTCGAGAAGCCCGCAAATCAGGTTTACACCCGTTCCGCCTTGGCGGAGCAGAGCACCCCAGTGGGCGTGGCCCTCTCCGACTCCACGGCTTTCGTGAGCAACCTGACTTTCCCAGACCTGGAGCCTCAGCCGATTTTGGATTCACGCTTTCCGGGTTGCTCTCTTTGTTGGATTGAGTCTGAAGAGGCGCTTTGCTTAAGGCTTCGTTGTGATGTCACACTGCCTTCAGGTGTTGAGTGTTGATGGGGCGGGGTAGGGCGAAGTGCATGGTGTTTCATTGTCGTTTATTGCTGCAGATGGGCGGAGTCTGTGACGCAAGCCTATCCTACAGAATGCTCAAGCCCCAAAGTCGAAGCACCCAAAATCTCCGAGCACCGAAGCCCCGCCCCCGAAAAGGATCTCGACATCACCGAGCTTGGCGGGAACTTGACCTGGGTCCCTCCCGTGGACGACCGGCTTGTGAACCTCGCCCGGAACTATTCCCAGCGCACCTCCGGGGCCCCTCCTACTTCTCCTACATCTCCTACTCCTACTACTCTAAGCATTCTTGGAGCCTCTACAAGGGCCACTACACCCTTACATGGGCCTTGCAGGCCTTTCACGCTTTGAGGCGTGACTCTAGGAGCTTGAGGTTAAGGCTTGAAGGTCTGGCAGGTTTCGCGTGATTTTTTGCGAAACTGAAGGCCTGTTGGGCCTTGGTTTTTGAAGAAGAGTTTCGGGCTTTCGGCAACCGGATGTGGGAGCTTCAGACGCTATGCCTTCCGGTTGTCCCTTCTGCTTTGTCGCTCAAATCTCTTGATCCTTAGCGAGATTCTTGCGAGGGGCCCCTCTTTTGTAGGTTGCTTTATTGAAGATCTCCAGGGCTTCAAGAGGTGCATGGCCAGTTCATGGCTCCACGTACGGACAACTGTTCTGTTTACGGCTCTCAAGCTAAAACCCCAAAGCCGCCACCGTCACAAGCCGAGGCTGGGCTACAACGTCTTCTTTGCAGATGATCCAGCGTGTCAGGAGACTTGAGGGGATTCACGGGTGGACCAGAATTTGTCCAAGCCACCCGCCTCGCTGTTAACCCGTCCGCACCACATCCAACGGCCGCCAAACCTAAAGCCCTGGAACGCAAGCTTTTGGCCATCTTCTGGCTTGTGGACTGCGCATGTTATTGTGCTACTGTGGCGCCCGCTGTTGCGCTGGCGAAAAGCCCAAGTCTCTATTGATGCAGGTGCTGTAGCCGACAGCTGCATGCTATTGTTATGCGAGCTTCCTTTAGCTTAGAGTTGTCGGCCGCTTGAGTCAACCTACTGTAGGAGTTTAGCGGGAAGCTTCATACGACTTTCGAATTTCTAGAAGGCCCTGGATTTCTCATAAGTCACGAATAATTAGCGGCCTCAAAGTGAGGAAAGCAAGAAATTGAAAGGTGAGGAATTCGGAAGCGAATCCCATGACCGGAGTGCGGAGGAACACCCACTTGAGAGCACAGACAAGATCCGGCTCCACTTTTGGTTCTTAGGCCTTTCAGGTCGTATTGGCATGGAGTGTGGAGACTGACTTGCGGTTGCAAAAATCTGCCAGGACGCTGCGTGCCAGAAGCTGCTGGTGGAGAACGTGTGGGCCAATGATACCCTCGTCATCATCTCTCCCGACACGCCGATTCTGAACTTCACCCACCTCTTGATCTACGACGCTGGGATATGGAGAGTTGAGCACGAGCATTTCTGTATGCACAGGCTCTCAGAAAAGGGCTTGCCTAATTTGGGCCCGGTTATGCGACAGTCTAGCTTTTGGCAGTGCCCCATTCTCTGTGAAGGAGTCGTATTGACATCGTGGTTTGACTTGTAAGTTTTCTGCTCTCGAATGTGTTTCTGATGTTTGAGCATCTTTCCGAGGCGACCTCGGGCTTCGCAGAGCAGACGACGCCAGCGAGCCTTGAAATCGTTGATGCCAACGCCTCCGTGTCGAACATCCGCTTCGTGGACAAAGACTTGGAGTCAAAGGCACCCGCTTTTGGGGGACCGTTCCAGGTGCACTGCCACCGTGCCATAGCCGAGCAGAACGCCTGAAATGCCATAGAGACATACAGAGACTCTACCAGCCGTTGGGTGGCCAAGTCCTAGGTCCCTCCTGGTGTTCGCTTCTCTTTGTGATGAGTTCTCTCGACAGTTCTCATGGGCTTCTGCCGAATATATCATTCTAACATATTCTAACCAAGCCGCTCCGATACACTGCAGGAGCTTGGTGGCGACGTCCTGTGGACAGCGCCGGATGGCTCCCGGGACTTCAGCACGTCATGCCATCGGAAGTCTCAGAAGCTTTCGGGGAAAGCTGGCTCCCATCTAGGACCCAAATTCTTGACAACGCTTCGCAGAAACTTCTCGGGAGACTTCAGGGGCTTTGATTGTTGATGAGGAGTGATTAGGGTTCTTAAGCCTGCCGTGCCCTGAACCCAACGCCCTGCAGCAGGGGAAGTGACTCGGTTCAAAACCCTCAACCCAGCACTGTGGAGCGTCTAAGTAGCACCTGAGTCATCATGTCATAGGAGCCTTCTAAGAGGGGTCGCGAAGCATCGGACGATTGTAAGTAGACAGCTCGGGCCGGCTCCGGCCTGTCATGCAAATCCCCACTTCAAGGTCGTTGCCAGCGAAAGCTTCAGCTTTAAAACGGTATAACAAGCCAACGCATGCCCACCCTGGGTTCTCGTTCTCTGCCTGGAGCCTCTTAATGTCTTGCGAAGGCTTCATCGATCGAGTCGAGGCATACGTGCTGTACCTGAGCATCCCGGCAGCAAGTTGCAATGAAAAATGCAGAGCGATTTTTGGATTTTGAGAAGTCTTGAGATGCTAGCCTCTGCCAAATTTTAGGTTTAAACTTAGCCCGAGTCCTCGCGTTGCCCTGGGTCAGACTAGACTCTTCAATACCCTGCCCTACATATCCCAAGCTCTGATCTTCTAAATTCTAGACAGCAACTTGAAAGCCGCGTCGGCTGCTTTATTCCAAGGTGCCACTGGTGCTGGCGACCAGCGGATCAGTCTTGGGTCGGAGGTGGCTGTGGGAACCGATGTCAGGACCCACACATCCTCAAACCCAAAGACGCCGGTGATGCCTGCGCTACCCGTTACTGCACGTCTATGGCACTGCATGGCTCAGAGTCTGCTTGAAGTAGATAGGGGAGCAAAGAAGTGACCACGCAATGCTTACACAGTCCATCATGGGCTCTGCTACCTTTTGGCTCGGGCACAAAACAGCTTTATACATGGCTCGAGGGATTGCTTCCATACCTTTCACCTAGAAGCCTGAATGCCGTTCAGCAGAAGAAGCTCAACAAGAAGCTCCTTCAGCCTAAAGCTTCCAGAACCTTCCAGAGCCTGCGTTCGAGAGGAGCATCCCACCAGAGACTGCGACCGGTGGCCGCGACTTCTTGTCGATTTTCACTCGCTCCTCCCTGGTGGTCTCCTCAGAGGTTCCAGGTAACCGGGGAGGTGTGCAGAGGTCCTCACAACGACCCCCTTTCAAGGAATGGACCCTTCATGTTGACAGATCCAGGTTCTATTTTGGGAATCCTGGAAATGAGCCGTTCAAGATTCGCTGATGGCTTGCGCTGTTTAGGGCTTACGGTTGGTTAAGGCTCGAACCAGGATCCGGCGTTATGGAGCATCGGTGTAAGTCTGAAGACTACTTCCCCCCCCCCCCCTTCCGGACCAACAAGTCCCGGGCTACGTCGCAATGTTGCAATACCAATAAACCCTCAAAGAATCAGTTCTTGAAGCTTGGAGCTTATGCCCTTTCGTATCCACCCCAGTCTGGCCTTTAGATACTGTTGCCCGCAAGGTGGAACAAACAACGCCGGTGGCACTGGAGTTCTCGGATGCGGTGTCTGCCAGGCGCTTAGGTCGAGATCGCAGTCATGGTGCCATCCGGGTGATCGAGCACTCTAAGGGACTCTAGGGTCTAAGCTGTGATGGTCTACATTGAGCCTACATGGCCTACATGGTGCAGCCACGCACCTTCTGCCTCTCAACAGCTCAGGTGGTGGAAAACGTCAGCTTTCCGGACTTTGACCTCGACGCCTCGGACCTGGGCGGCGTGCTGGCCTGGTCCGAGCCGAGGGATATCAGCCAGGCCGCGAACAGGGCGAGCTTGGAAATCACGATGGTCAGGAAGTCTGCTGTGTGTTGAGGTGGTCTGACTTATTGCCTTGGCCCTGGGCCTTGAAACGGCGGGCTTGTATAGGCATTGGTACATCGGCTGGGGAGAGTTCTTCTGTGCAAGGGTGTTTGCGGACAGCTGTTGCAGGTGGAGCATTACAACGTGTACTTCGCGAGGAGGCATCCGGCTAGCACCCGACGATCAGATTGGCAAGATTCGCAAGGGGAGCACTGTACCCAAGTAACAGGCAAGACTTCACCTGTGGTTCTGGCATTGTGTAGTTTTGAGCAACCTTTCTCTTTTTGGCGGGTGGGGCATACGGTTCCCGAGCATCGGCCCCTTACGTTCAAGGACCCCTAAATGCACCTTTGGGGACAGGTGCTTGATGTCGGAAGTGAATTCGACGCTGTGCCGCAAGATCAGACAACATTAACCACTGGAAAGATTGCGAGCAGTTCATACAGGGATTTGCCTGAGTTTCGACTTGTACTGTAGTGGAACAGTAGCGGCCATCGGCATGAGTGAGTATGTTCAAGCCCAGTTCCGGTACGGTAACGTACCGGGTGGTGAGGATTCAGGGGAGTTATCGGGGTGTTTGCTGCCCTTTTGCTTTTCAATGGTAATTAGAGAAACAACCAAGCATGGGATACTGATGGTTAGCCAACCTTTTGCCTTTGAACACTCGAAGAAGCAGACTCTAAGGCTTTAGTCAGGCTTTAGCTAACCAGCCGCCCCAGCCGCTCCCCCCCCCCCCTTGGACGCCAGTTATCGGCAGATGGCCCAGGTCTATGTCCGACGAGTCGGATGTCACTTGCATGCGATCAGTTGCCCCACGCAAATATACCCCTGCAGTGGCATGCTGTTGTTGTTGCTGCTGCTGCTGACAGTGGTGCCAGACCATGCTCATGCTCTTGTGCCTGCACTTGATGGGTCACTGGCCCAGCGGTAATCCTTTTTCCAAGTCCACGTTGCCAGTCTAGGAGTCTAGGACTCGCACTGGTTTCGGGTGGGGCGATGCTCGCATGAACGCATTGTTCCGCGACTTAATGCTGTGGGCCTGGGATGAGATGTACTGACCTGAGCTTGTACCCTACTGCATTGATTCGTGCTGCCTTGAATATGAGCCCTAGGAAGTTTTTGGAAGCCTTGAAGTCCTTGAAGCCTGCATACCCATGTGCAAGCGACACTGTCTCAAGTGCCCAATCTTCAGGTCTTCTGTGATCTCGAGTTCTTTGGCTCGGTGCCACAAGGACTGCAAGGGCCTGATCCGAAGAATGTGCTGAAGACCCTAGACAAGGGCCTTGGATTCTGCTGCAGGAACGGATCGAGACCTCTGTGTTAGAGGTCCCAGCACAAAATCAGATGAGCCAGACATCCCCCGGACCTAAGCTTTGCGATTCGAATGCGCGGCATGTCGTGAGGAGTAGACACCTTGGTGGTTCCGCCCGAGACGCCCATCCGTACCTTGCCTATGAACAAGAGCTTATGTTAGAGAGCTTTGCTGCAGCGATCCTGTGCAAGGCCTCTTGCCTAGAGTCTAGATTTCTGACACTTTCGCTGGTCCTCGGATGCTCACAGGTAACTTCTCCCACTTCCTGGTCTATGCCAACTCTTCGCTGGCTGAGCAGACCATTCCGACAGAGCATCTGATTTTTGTGATTTGGCCGCAATTGGGAGAAGGTTCGCACAACAAATTGCGGGTTCGGTTTGGTTTCGATCCCGAAGCCTGAAGGCCAGAATGGACCCACACACACAAGTGCAATCCACGTGGAGAAAAGTCGAATCGAGCCCCGATCCCCAAGGACATGAACGCGAGCGTCTCGGATGTCTCATTCACAGACAAAGACTTGGACGCAGCAGAGATTGGGGGACAGATCGACTGGCTGCGGCCGTACGACACAAGCCGCGTCCAGGACCGATTTGGTTCCCCTCCTGGCGCATCCGGGCTTTGGGTACCTGAACCGAATTTTCGACTACACTCCCACCCCGAGCCCCTCATACCTCCGAGCCCTTCCCTAACACGGTCCAGGCGTGGAAGCCCGAAAGCCCCAAGCAAACTTAAACCCAGAGCTCGTGCCATGGCTCCGGCTTCGGAGCAAGCCGAAGGAAGTGCGACTGCCGTTTCGCAGCCAAGACCTCAAGATCCTCAAGACACTCAAAAGTACCCTCAGTTCGGGCGATTGCGGGCGGGGTGGATGTCAACCCATGTCAACCCAGACCTGCCCTAATAACCATCTACTAACCATGTGACCGCAGGACTACGTGGTGAGCTTGGCCTTGAGCTCTTCGGGCCTGGCACGATCGCAGGCTCCCGGGGTTAGGTCAGTTTCGAAGGTATCGTTTCAGGGCTTCCGCGCGCTAGGCCCTAGGCTTTCAAGGTTGAGGACTGTGCTTTTGAGAGTCTTCTGGGGACCTTCGAGAGTAGATAGGGATCACTCGGCCTGACACCCCAGACCCCATCAAACTGCCAAATCCTCGTGTTTCGAGGTTGGACCGAGCCTGCCCGTCGGCAACGAGACCCAGCCCCTGGCGCCCGAAGCTCGCCTGAGGATGTGTGGAATGCCGGGTGTAGATAGACTCACAGCTTTCACAGAGGCTTGCTTGAGGCTGGTGCCGGTTGGTGCTTTGCTTCGGACGTAGTTCCATTCTGACGTTGCTGCCGAATTGCAGGAACGTATCACCCATCGTCGCTACTTCCCAGCATCGCAACCATAGGCATTGAAATGTGGGTCCTAAAGAACAAAAACAGGGCCCAACTACAGAGATTGATTCAGGAAGGCAGCATAAGAGGGCCTCAGGGTTGACGACTGGGATATGCAGCTTTCCGTGGATTTTGACTGTAGATCTCAGGCCTCTTCCAAGTCAGAATTGGGCCAAGAATGGGGCCTGAATGCAGTAGGGAGCTTCGGCTACCCTTTCCCAGCAGTCTTGCGCCAGCCAAGGAGACACCAATGCTGCTTGAGACATACGTCGTTGCTCGAGCCTCAGACGTTGGCATGCAGCACAATGTGCTGAGAGCACGCTTGCTTTTCCAAGCTTCTGCTGGGTCCTGTCTAGGCAGATGCAATTTTACATGTTCTTGGGCTTGCAGGCCAGATGCGTGAAGCTTCTGCCCAAAGGATACCGAGACTCCACACTCTAGGAGGTCGAGCCCGTAGTTTGCTTAGTTTGCAAACCCCCCCTCCCTCCAAAGTCGCTATCGGTCAAGGGCCTATGATTAGCGGGTGTTTCTGTCAGGGTTATTGACGTTGAGGATAGATTAGACCAATGTCATCATTCAGGTGATTAATGGCATTTGGGTTTTCGAAAAAGGAAAGCCAAGGTGTACACGCGCTCTCAGTTGGTGGAGCAGACGACGCCAGGTTGCAGTCTTTATCGTAAGTTCCTGACTATGACTGTTAACATCTCGACTGACGGCCGAAAGACAGGAGTTGCATCTCCTGCAACTGCATGCATATGCTAGGTTCTGCATGGCTCCGAATTCTCGAGTAGCCTTGCTACAAGATAGGTATTCGACGCCTGCGACTGTAAATGGAGAGGCAGGCATCCGAAGTCTAATTCTGACAACGCAACGATAGTTTAATTTAAGCTCAGCAGCAGGTCACAGCCTCCCTTGACCCCCCTGCAAGGGATGAGTGATGAGTGTCCAAGCCCCACTGCAGTCCCAAGGACACCAGTAAGCGTGAAGATCGTGGACTCCCTTGCATCGGCCGCTTGTGAACTCGTTATGCAAGGGAGGGTCCAGGGAGGGCGCTGCCCCTTTGCAAGACAGGTGTAGCATCTTACAAGAGGAACGCGTGACAGATCGAGGGAGTCACATGAGTGCATGAATGTGCACGAGCACCTCCTTACATCCATCCATGACTTTCGAGCCCAAGGCTCTTTCCTCGCTCAAAAGGAAGGGTGCTGATGAGGAGGAACTCATACAAGACCGTCTTCTCTCTATAAAGCTTCACATTGTCCACGATCCGCTCCCGTGGCTCCCATTCATAAATACAGGTTCAATTCAACACCAAGCACAGCACGCCCCAAGTCTCCGCGTCGTAGTAGGGGATCTTTGATTTAGAGCCCTCAACCCTGGTTGCAGTAAAGAGACTGCAGGTCTCCAACATCTCCTTCCCAGACTACGACCTGGACGAAGCAGATCTCGGCGGCCTACTGGCGCCTCGGTGGCACTTCATTTGCTTCATTACATTGCAAGATGTTTCCTGTGTTTTTTTGTGTGTTTTGTGTGCGTTTTGCAAGGAGTGGCAGCGGCCCACCACCACCGGGAGCATCTTGGGCCCCGAATTTTCCTACTGCCCCCCAGTGCTGATCTTCTTTTGTTTATATAAAATTTGGGTTCAGGACAGGATGTAGGTGCGACCTCAGAGGATCCTCTTCGCGCCCCTCTCCCTTTTGGCCCAGGGTTGCCTCCCTTCATGCCAAAGCATGAGCCATATGCGCGGGTCATAAAAGCTCACAAGGGATGTGCATCGTTTCTAGAGTGGACATGCTTGGACCGACAACCTCCATAAGTTTCGTTGTCAAGATCAGAGCTAGCCAGAAGTTGTCCAAGTTGAGTGCTTTGTTTTTGCAAGAGGCCAGCAAGTGGGACTTGGGCGGGACTTCCCTTTAGCCGCTTTAGCCCTCTGCCTCCCCTTGCCGAGCATGTTTGGGGACATTGTCCTCAGGGCCAATTCTGTGGTCCATGTGATGTGGTTCTAAGGCGAGCACGTCGAGTCCTACATTGCCGCGAGGAAGCATTGTGTCACAGCTAGGGCTAGGCGGCTGGTCTACTGGCCTGTAAGTTTAGGGTTCCGGTACATGGATGGGTCTCAAATATCTGGGATGCCAGATCGACAGGTTGTGTCCGATGCCCAAGTCTTTCTTGCCCAACTGAAAGCAGCTCCCGGAAGCTGTCATTGAGGTCTACTTTGCTGCTTCTTGCGGCACCAACATATCCGACAGTTTCTGCTGCTTGGTGTATTTTCATTGCCCAGCCTTGCTCAGCCAGAGGCTTGAAGCGACTTCTGCGTCTTTTGCACTTAAGGTGAGCAGACCTACTACTCTGCAACCACCTTCGGCACGGAGAACTTGACAATTCCTCCAGAGACGCCCATCGACAACTTCACCCACTGGCCATCCACCCGCAACAAGCCTTGTGCTGTGGGACCTTCGATGGCCTTGTTTGAAGCATGTTTGGGCCTGACACCCATGAAGAAGCAGTTGGCCGATGTGCTCCACTTCCAGGGCACGTCAAGTTGCGCTCTTCCAGGTGATATCCACCTTGCATGGAACCCAGAAGCCCCCAGTGCAAAAGGGTTGCATCATGCTGCATCCCGGCGTGGAGCGTTTCCCCTGGTAAAGTCAATAGAGGGCTTCTTAGCGTGGAGGCGATGAGGTCTGCACAGGGTTATACCTTGAACCTACAGACCTGGCTATACTCTGTAGCATCCTGGAACGCTTAGGCTTGTGTACACGCGCTCGAGCCTGGTGGAGCAGAGCTATCCGGTGTCACACGAGATCTTCGACGCTGTTTCGAGCGTCTCAGGAGCCGAGCATCCATTTAAAACAAGTATGGGAGACTGTGACTGTGAGGTATCTTGCAAAGGGTAGAAGGCTGACTCCAGCTCCCGAAAGTTGAATGAACTGAGTAGTGAGCAGGGGTGTCAGAAGGGTTTTGTCAGTTTTAGGTGGCTCATTTCATTTCTTAGAATGCACATTCATGTCGGTATTCTGCAGCAGTTTGTTGCATATGCGGTTGGAGCTTCTTTGGGTCCCTCAAAGATTTCAATGTTTTTGCTGCTTCTGCTTGCATTTCCTGCACAAAGCCCATGATCAGGTTTGCAAGCCTGAGCTCGCCTACTAGGCCCTAGGCTGCTTACAGTCCCTGTGGCTTCTTTGGGCCCAAACCCCGTGCCCAAAGCGCCGTGCTGGCTGTCCCCCGAAATGACTGGGTTGAGGGGAGGGCTCCAGTGAGGGTCATGGCACCTGCATGGACCAGCTGCCAGGAATCCAGTTCACCGACAGGGACCTCGACATTCTGGAGCTTGGAGGTGCTGGAATTGAACCTACGAGCCCGTCATCCCACAGCTTTGTACTGTAAAGTCATACAGAGCCTTGTGAAAGGGCTACTCTTAACCAGACAATTTGATTCGGCCTCGGATGGTAGATTCCTGGCAGAGGCACCGCCTACTGGGTGCAGCCTGTCTACGACGCCCCTGGGCACGGCGGTGAGAATGGTCTCTAAAGGGTCGTTGAAGGGATAACCTTCAAGCCAAGGAGGCACTGCTAGATGGATTTGCACCGGTCCTAGCGTGCCAGAAGCACAAAGGCCCGCGTGCGCTTCTACAACGTGTACCTTTCGGCGGATCCCGCAGGCCCCTGAGAGAAGAATGTTTCTGGCATTGCCAGCGAACATCTTGAAAGCCAACTGAGACCGATAGGTCCTATAAACCAGATTGCCACCTTCATCCACCGTTTTTTGACATTCCCTGGATTCCCTCAACAGTATGCACGGGTTAAAGAAATACTCGCTACTTGCTTGGCTGAGGAACACTGGTCAGACTAGTGTAAACATCAGAGGAGCAAAGTACCTCGGATTTGTGCAAAACTTGGCCGCGCATAAACTCCCCCCCCCATTGACTTGAAGACTGCAAGAGGAGAATACAGGTTGAGGTTTGATGGATCAGAGGCCCCCCTCCCCAACTTGTCCACGGAATGATTGGGACCCGGCCGCTCAAGCCACTCTTGCACTTCACCGATGGTTGGGGGGGGGGGGCTTACTGCTTGCTAATCTGAGGTCAACGGTCAACTTTAGATTCCTTTAGATAGCTACCCGGAATGTTGTCGATCATATCAGCCAGTGATGTCTCAAGAGTCCCATGAGGGTACGAAGATGAACAGCTAGCTACAGGACTTTGACGGTCAGGGCTTAACGAATCCAACGAACCTGTATCTTGGAGCGCATCCTGAGAATCCGAAGAAGGCACTGTCCAAACTTCACGCTCTCTCCGGTTTCAGGCCTCAAGTTTAACCATTCCCTATTAATACCCTAAAGCGTCCTAAACTCTGCCAAGAAGTTTCACTCCTTGGAGGCGGCGGCCGTGCGCTCATGGGATCGACGGACGCGTCTGAAAGCAGCTTTGCGCTGCCCGGCAGCTCCTGGTGATTCGGGTACCGACCTGGACCGCATATGCCATACATAGTTGTTCCGATGTTTGTTCATGATGTCCTTGCTAGATAGTGACATATCATGCCAATTCAACTAGCTGCCACCCAACGCCCTGCCTGGACTGTCCTCAGCCGCAAAACAATGGTGCCTTTTGAGCTCCCTATCCGTTGTGGAAATTCCGCTGGAGGCTTGTCCCGGACATCTCTTCCGAGGGCTTCGCGTTCCTTACAGCCGCGCGCCAAAACTAATCTCTGGCAGAGCTATTTTATTACGTCCTTTAGGCAAGCTGGAAGGGCATACTCCGAGCATGTAGCGTACAAAGGATACGACATCCCTGTCCGAGAGCACACAGTTGGAACAAACAGGTAGAGCCTCAAGCCAAGGGCCAGCAGTAGTGTCAGCCACACCCTCAAGACGTCTCTTCGCGTAAGAGTCAGATGATTGGCTTAGCTTCCGCTGACGAACTTCAGCAAGCTGCTCAAGGACATTGTGCTCAGAAATCCTGGACAATTCATCAGAAAACCACGGCAGATCTTCCTGTTTTGTCAGAATAGGACTAAAGGCCGCTTTGCATGCTGGGTTTGTTTTTTCCATATCCCAAGTAGTTGAACCTGGCAAAACAGAAGAACACGTAGTCACAAGTAGAAGGCTGCTAGGCTCACGGAGTGGCCCTAAAGACACGGGCTCCTAGGATGGGCCCACAGTTAGGAGTTCCGAGATTCAGTGAGTTGGGGGCTGCCCATCAAAGTGCCGCAGAGCTTTCGCATTTGGAGCAGGATGCCACACCTAGCCATACCGAGCCTGAGGTGTACACAGAGTCTATCCTGGTCGAGCAAACGACGCCTGTGGCTTTGAACTTTGCGGATCGCGCCTCTCCTGGCAGCTTGTGGAAAGCTAGGCTGCTTCAGAGCCCAAACAGTGTAGGAAAAGACGTTCGGGTTTGAATAGGTCCCTGCTTGCTTGGTGCAGCCTTTGGTCCCTGTTGGCTTTAAGGCTGCTTCTGTAGGTTCCAAGATTGGTTAAAGCTTGGAGTCTTCAGGAAGGACCAAGTCTGGCTGGGTGGGGAGGTGGGGAGGGCAGACATCCAGCTAATGTGTGCACTGTGCACATCTTGTTTTTGGATTCCCATTTGGGGCATCTTGAAGCACGAAGGATCTTGCAGCAAAGAAGCGACCCATTGATACAGGAGTAGTTGAAGATGAATCACACGGACAAGCCTCCCTCGAAACCCCCTAAATGCTATTCTTCGCAGCCTGAGGCCAATGCCTTCCCAGGCCTTGAACTGCAGAGAAATCTTGCCTCTCATGTGTGGGGACAACGTGGGACACATTCTCTGCATTCTCTGCATTCTGCATTCTGCGCGGCGAAGGAGAGTCCTTGGTCCAGAACCTCACCTTTCCGGATTTCGATCTGGACTACGATGACCTTGGCGGAACTCTTGCCTGGAAAACGCCCGCGGATGTCACACAGGCACTGTCGGGCTCGTTTGGTGGTCAATGTGGACGTGTGAGTTTGACGCGAGGCTCAGCATGCAGCAGCGTGTAGGGGTTGCCGGGGTTGCTCTGCACGGCTCTGCATCCCGCATACTGGCAGGTGACCCACTACGTCATATACATGGTCGACGTTCCGGAAGACGCGAGCCTGGTGGAGGATTGTGACGCAGCTTGGCTGAGGGAGTGGAGCATTTAAGTCATGTTAGCCTCATATCATTAGGAATCATTCGGGAGCAGCCGCAGGGCTTGAGCTCTGTAAGACCAAAGCCCCAAGATCTGCAGAGCCCAATTGAACATGGGGCTCTCAGCCAAACATCTCAAGTTCAGCCCAAGGTCATGCTGACCGAGGACTTTGACCCAGTGACCTTCGCAGAATCTTGGAGGGAAGGAGGCAGCCGTTTCGGAGAGTTGCGGGATGTTTCGGGCCTGGGCAAGACTTGAGACGCACCGAGATTTGGAGACCGAAGCCCATCGCGGCCTCAGTCCCAAAGCATCACCTTTAGCCTTTAACTTAAAACAGCAGAATATAGCAGAGCCATGCTCGCTCCCAAGGGCTTCAACCAGAGCTACTTGCCATCGCCGGGGCTGGCCTTGATCAACGTCTTGAACGCCTCGATCTTGTGCAACAGGCACCAACTCGCCCGAGAACCCGAAAACCTCCGTGCCCTCATTGGACCCATTCCTCCCACCCCTGCCCTCCGCTAAAATACCGCAACCCCCAAACCCGTCCGATCAGAGCCCCCCCCTCGGCTCGAAGACTCGAACTCAATTGTCAAGCCCGAGACGAGTTCCAACTGCAGGTCCTTCTACTCGTGGGTCGATGCCGGAGCCTAAGCTTGGCTGGAGAATGTGAACATCTCAACTGCACCCTTTTTGTTTCTCCCCCCAGCACCTGTGGCTTCGTCCCGCTTGATTTTTCTCCAAGAGCGACTTTTTTTGATGACTTCTGTGGCTCCAAATTAGTCGGAAGGGAAGTAGTCGATGGCTTACAAAATTGGATGGCAATACACCGATATTGCACATCCTCGTGATCGTGCTTTGGTCGTATCGACTGTCTAGGCTTGTCCCATTACACTGAGTTTTTGAATGTGTTGTACATGTGGGTACGCTGAGCATCCATGAGCCATCACTCTCAACGAGGCGAGCCGATTTTTTGCCATGGAGTCTCAATGGAGGCAGTCACACGCTGGTCTTGACACATGTGAAAGTCTCGAAGATTGCTTTCGGAAGGTCTTCGGAGATACCGCATGTGAAGCTGTCGAGGTCAAGCAACAGCTACCTTCGATTGTCTCGGGCGGGCTTGAGTCAGAAGACTTCTGGAAGGAGCTCTACCTGAGGATTTTTCGCCCTCTTTTCTTCGCGCGCGCCCACGAAGACCCGGGTTTGAGGAATCTGATTCAACTTGACGACGGGGTTTTTGTCGTCGAGCTGAAGCGTGCAGCGAATCAGCCGCCCTGGAAGCAGCCATGGTGGAACGGCAGTAGGTACTTGGATCCAGCGGAGGTTGAGGACTACAAAGGAAGCGCTCCCTGCGTGGCAGAGGTGAAGAAGTGTGGTGATGCCATTGCGCTGCTTAAGGTGCTGTGCTCGATCTGCTTTAAAATTTGAAGAGGCGGAGCTGAGTGAACAGAGACCGAGGTGAGAACGGAGTCCATTGACGTCCCAGAGAACTTGACTCTGTTCCCCTACACGCACTGGGCGGTGTATGCCATGTCATCGCTTGTTGAGCAGTCCACACCGACCTCCTTGCAGATCTACGCGGCTCAGCTGCGTTTTGATGGTTGAGCTTTTTGAGGAACCCCTGCTGCCGAGGGGACCGACAGGGGTGTGCTTTGCAACGTGCAGTGTCTGCCGTTCCCCGCCCTCCTCCCCCCCCACCCCCTTCCCAAGGACATGGTCGCGAACGTGTCCAACATCACCTTCCAAGGCAGGTACCTCAAAGGGTAGCTATAGCAGCTAGAAAGGATACACTGTTAAGAGGAGTTCTGAAATGTCCGGCACGTCCCTTCAGACCTATAGGAACCGGTTTGAAAGGCCTAGGTCGGCCCCGGATGTCGCTGACATGGGGATTTTAATCTGAGAGCATGAAACTACCCAATTTTTAGCATTCCCCGTTTAGCTCATTTACTGCTGGACCTGTGGCACTGCTGATACAGAGGCACCATGACCGGTTACCGGTATGAGGTTGCTGAGGATGACGCATCAGCGATATCATCTGCTCCATTCTCATGTGGCACGACGGGGAGATATCCAAAATCCGAGGGAAGGAATCTCTGAGACTGAGACCAGAGGGCCCTGAAAGCCAGGCCTCGACCTGGACCTGGCACACTTGGGGGGAACTGTGGCCTGGCAGCCGCCAGCACCTTGGCTTAGCATGCGGAGCCTAAATCAACTAAATTGTAAGATGTGTCAGATTGATATACGCTACTGTAAGGGGCTTTCGCAGCAACAATGCTCGTTTTGTTGGTGGGTCGGGGCTCATATGGATTATCAGAAACTCCCCGTCCTGGCGTCCCAAGGAGCTCATGGAGCGCGTGTACAGCTACGTCCTGTACCTCGCCGAGAGTGCTGCAGGGGACTACCGCTCCCAAATCGGCAACCAGGCCTGCGACGCTGACACACGTGTGTTTGCTCGACACGAACGAAGGCGCATCCATGAAACACAGCAACAGCAACAGTTTCAGAAGCACATCATAGTGATAGTTGCCGTTGGGGAAACATACACTGCAGCTTGGTCCTGCACCTGCCCTACATTGGCTCTGCCAGTGTCGAGACACCAACCCCACAATCCTTCCTACTGTAGCTTCAAAGATGTCTCCCTACGTGCTGCAGCAGGTCCTTGCTGGCACCAACGCCCAGTTGGTCCCCGCCGAGACATTGAGACTGTCCTACACTCACTTCGCCGCTGAGCTTCTTTAGTACCACAAAAATGGAGGCTTGGAGTCCGTGGACTAGGTTGCTCTTGATCATTGAACTTGCTCGAGTACTAGATGTGGAAGGTCCGAGGGCAAATGGCCGTGATGGCCTACTGATTGTGCCGTGCCATCTTTTCAAGCGAACGACGAGCCGTTGCGTGAGGCTGTATACACTCGCTCTACCCTGGCCGAGCAGCTTCCTGGCCGCTGTTGATTTTTTTTGTTGCTTTTTTTTTCCGGGGGGGCGGGGCGGCGGGGGGGAGGGGGGGGGGCGGGGGGGTGTCTCGCGGGGATCCTTGAATCACTCAGTACATGCAGCAAGCTCGAGCTTTTTTGGCTTATCGCCACATTTGCTTTCCAAGGACAACTCCATCGTCCCTGGCCTTCCTGGATGAGGTCTCTGTCGCAGGAATCTCGGCTGCTTTTGGGCTCTCAGCAGGAGGGAAGTTACTTATGTTACTTACAATGAAGGGGAATAGCACCTTGTTTTGCCAAAGCTTGCTGGGATTCTCACTTTATGAGTTTGTTTTGGGCAGCCTGAAGTTTCAATTCGTGGAGAGCGCAGATGGGGGATCCGGCCAACCCAGGAAACGTCACCTTCATCGATGATGACCTGGACAGGTACGAGCTCTTCGGCTGCAGCGCCAACCCTCAGAGACTAACAAACACAAGCAGCTTAACCAATTCATTGTCGTTGTACTCTGCGTTCTGGGCTCGCACCGAGGATTGGAGGTGATCTGATTTGGCTGCAGCCAGACGACGACAGCGAAGTTGAGCACTACCAGATCTATTTGGCCGAGGTTGCTTGCCCGATGCCCCCGCACTAAGCTGATACAACTGCCCGGCCTGTATGAGTGAAAAGTGTGTATACCCCTTTATCCCAAGTCTGGGCTGGAGTTGTCTTCGGTTCTTTTGTTGTCTTGTGCAGCTTGTAGCTTTTGCACCGCATGCTTTCCTGCTGACCGAGAGACCGATTGCCATGTGGGCTACGAGTTGTGCAGCCTTGTGGGTGGTGCGCATTTCAAGCAGGAAAGCCTGAGAAGTTGCGACAATGTGTGCGAAAGTAGCGACGTGATGTACTGCAGTAGCTGTAGCCCTTGTCGAGCGCGGGAGTGTGGTATGAAGGATGTCTACGATGTCCTTAGCTTTCCAGTAGCTTTCCCCCGGCTGACACCAACGAAAGCTACAGCATGAAGAGGCGAACATCATGTGATCCACTGCAGAGCATGCGTGTCCACTGCGAGCATTCAGGACAGCGCGGGCAGCAACCGATCTCTGCTTGGCAACGTCAGTCAGGGCGTACACCTTTTTGCGGTACCACCGAACACGGCGCTGATGTCCTTCACACACCTGACTGTGTTTGCTCAGCAGCTCGGCAAGCAGTTGTATGAAGACAGAGCAGTCGAACATGTTCCACAGTTGACCTTTCTTGATTCAGTGGGTTGGGGCCAAAACCCTGACAACTGATCACCTCAAAGGGGCTGGAGTCTAGGTTTTCGGTCTTTACCAAGTAAATTCAACACCATACTGTGCCCCTAAACCCAAGGTAGGATCCGGGTGTTTGATTCTAAAGAACAGACTTGCACGAGGCGTGAAATTCGAGACATGCCCAACCTGCGGGGCTCCCTTCTTAGGAGATTCAGAGACCGAGAGAGGTTTCTGCCGCTTCTCTCCAGTTTTTGAGGTCTGCCCTCTCCGAGCAGACCACGCCAAGTTCGGCTGCTGGGCATGCAGAGCAGACCGGTCCAAGCCCCCGAGCCACAAACAATGCGACGGGGGGAGGGGGGGGGGTTCTCGTACAACGCCCGGAATTCCTGCCGTTGGCTCTTGGCCCTGTACCCCTGTACCCCGTAACCCTTATCTTAAACCAATCCCACTTTGCCCCTCCCGGAGGTAGTGATCGTCGACACCATCGCCAGCATCTCCAACCTCCAGCTCATCGATCTCGATCTGGCAACTTGGCTTGCTGAACTTCAACAGCTCAGCCACGACTCCGAACCCCAAAACCCAGTTGACATGAGACGACTGGCCTCTCAATAATGAGGCTCGATGAGCTCTTGGCTTAAGCATCCCTGGCCCACAGGATGTTACTCAAGGAACGCGAAGCATTTGCAGCCGAGGACCCCTTGGAGCTGGGTGGCCGCGCCATGTGGACCCCGCCAGCGCAGCTCGGCATGGTAACGGATGTGGCATTGGGTTTGGCATGGTTTGGCTCTGGGCTTTCGGGCTTTTTGGGCTTCAGCATGTTGGATGTAGCGAGGGGGATGAGCGCCCTGTGTACGCTTTCAGTAGCAAAAGCTCAACTTTCCTGAGTTGGGGAGCCCTACAGCCTAGAAAAGCCCTCTTCCATGAGCCGGAAGTCTGCTAAGGAACGCGGCACGGGTGGAGGCGTATCGGATGTACTTGGCAACAGATGACCTGGGCGCCGGGCGAAGCCAGGCTTCAGCCTTCCACACAGCTCTATTGGAAAGGGTCGGATAGTCGGAGATGTTTAGGAATTTAGGGTTTGGGATTCTGCAGGATTTTACAAGGGCTCATAAACAAAGGCGTGCAGGCGTTGAGGGAGAGAGTTCTCCAAGCTCAGAAGCGTACATTGTCAAGTGCGTCCTCGCGCCGCCCTCAGAAGTGGGGTTGCCGAGGAGAACTCCCCCCGAAGCATTCTGCAGGGGTGCGAGGGTCTTAAACTCGAGTGGGCGGTTGTCAAGTGCAGGAGAAGCTTCCAAGCCCGGAAGGAAGCTTTGAGCCGACTGCTTTTGTCTCCGTCCAAACACTGCTCCGTGCAGGTGGGCCTGGAGGTGCCAGTGGGGAGGAACCTTGGCATCATTCCACAGTATGAAGATGAAGAACTGTATGTATGCGGCATGTAACATAATATACTACTAGCTATATATATGTATATATATATTTATTTATTTATATGTATATTTATATTTATATATATATATATAGATGTATGAGGCGTGTGCGTATGAGTCATAGTGAGAGTACATCCACTACATACCAAGCATGCATCTGAACGGACGCGTTCTTTTGAAAATGAGGCATGAGTAAGTGAGCATGTATCTGGCACTTTCTTGTTCCCTTTTTGTCACTGCCAGGAACTACCACGACTTGCCACCCGAGACTGCTCTGAGCTCATTCACCCATGTCGCGACCCAGCTGGAAAGAAGTCCAAACCTTGCAACCTGTGGCGAAGTCGAATCTTATAAGCTCCAAACAAGCACTTTTATGTTAAGCAGGGATATGCGTACACACACGCACGCACGCACTCACGCACGCACGCACGCACGCACACACGCACGCACACGTGTAAAGCCTTGGCTGAGTGCCAAAAGCCGTCAATGGTCATTCGAGTTGTTGAGTGCGCCATTGCGCCGCAGTGAGCAACCTCTTTGATGTCTGAGGTGGTCTACACCAGATCTGGCCTGGCCGAGCAAAGCGTGCCCGTGGCGTTTCCGGGCTGCATTTTCAGCGCTTCAGTGAAATTCCTCCTGACCGCAGCGAGATACTATATATATATATATAAAGAAAGCGCAGTATATGGCGAGAGGGAGACAGCGAGAGAATATACATGTCTATGTACATGTATGTATGTATGCATGTATGTATGTATGTATGCAGAGAGAGAGAGAGACGGCGAGAAATGTTGCGATTCACTGTTGTACACGAGCTTGTCAGAGAATGCTGCCCATGCCTTGACTTTTCAGACACGCTGAGCAGAGGCTGCCGCTGGTCGACACCATCGCTCAAGTGTCGGACACCAGGGGGTTTGCCAGGAAGTTGGGACGATTTTTGAGGATTTCTGTGCAAATTGCCATGGCCTGTTCCTGGTGTACTTGTGATCATGAATCTCTATCACATGGGGTTTCTGCAAGGGAGACTTCCCACTGTACTGTATGGCCCCCAGCAGGACATTCTCTTCCCAGACTTCGATCTTGACGAAACGGACCTTGGCGGCCTTCTGGAGTGGACGGAGCCTGCCGACACCTCACAGGTGGAAGCACCATGCAAGCTTCGAAGTGCAATGAACCAAAGCTGTATGGGGTTCTTAGTTTGGATGTAGCAGAGTATGAGATGGCTTACGGCCGGTTGACACGGACTGTGGACTTTACACAGTCCTGCATGCTGTGCTTGCAGCTGTCTTCGGAGTCGGCTGCTCCTGATGGCAAGAACAGCCAGACTCTGATTCCGAATCTTCCCCCTGCAGAGGTGCGGCACTACGACGTGTACATGGTCGAAGAATTGTCCAACATATCGCTTTGCACCTACCAGCTGAACCTCAGTGAAGAGGCCGGTGTGTAAGCGAAACAATCTTGTGAGACATACGAAGCGAACAACAAGTCATAAGGAGCAGGTGACAAGACTCAAGAAAGAGAGCGAGGACTGTGTAGAGATGAACTCGGCTTATGAAGGATGCTAGCTTCAGGGTAGAAATCTGAACTCTCGTTGTGCATAAGTCGCTGGTTTGCGGGGTAGGCTTCAGTATTGGATTTCATTCGTGGTTTACTATGCTTCTTTTGCCGGTGCGCCGGAGTGTAGTCGTGCGTATCAGAAGTCCTTGTTCTGAGCATCGAAGCTCTGTCCATCAGACGCTCAAAGCTTAAAGCCAAAAAGAAGCTTTGACGACCCCGCAGGTGCTGGACAGCAACGATTGTCCACGAAAGCACATGGGCACAACGGACATGGGCGTGGCCAACTTGCTCCCTGCCTGAGAAGGGGTTGCATGTACCTGGCATTGTGGTCGGTTGCTCTCGCTACATTTCATGCATCTGTGGCTTGTACCCTTTGCTGTTGCTGTCCTCGGGTGACTGGAGATCAGGAAATCAAGTCAGGAAGGCCACCCAACCAGTCCTAAACCCGAGCCGAAAGTGGGGCTTCACACTCTATACGCTCAAGTTCTGTCTTCTAGTAACAGCTCTCACTGCAGTTGCTGCCAGAGCATCTTTGGCAGGTGTTCTTGATTTGTCGTGCCGTATGTAGCTTTAGTCCTGCACTTACAAGAGAGGATTTGCATTATGGCTGGTTCCTTCGGGAGCGGTGCCGAGTGTGGCATCTTGCTTTGAACTTTGCTAGAATATGCGGTCAGCCAGCGTTCTGAATGACCAAGTTCTGGTTCCTGACATATGATGGCATCCTTAGACTGATTTAGAAGAGGGCCAGTTCCAGGACGGTAGCTGTGGACACGGACCTGGCCAACTACACCCACTTTGCGATCTTCACCCGGTCATCGCTCGTCGAACAGACTACGCCCACGACACATCTCATTGTCGCCACGCCCTTAGAATGACTGATGCTTTTTGTTCTTGCGGGTTCAGTTCTTTAGGAGCTGCCAATTATGCAGCTTCAGGCGTGAGGCAGGAAGCAATTCCTCCTAGATCCTGTAGGTAGGTACTTTCAGGTTCCCACGTCTTCTTCCCTTTCTGCTGTCCTAGAGATTGGATTGGGGCTCGGGGTTAAGGCTTAAGGGTTCAGGCGTGAGTTCGTGGATGTCCAACAATCCCAGACAAGCAGCAGAGCTACCTAGAGAGGTCGGATTGATGTTGATTCCTTCAGATAGCTTGTCTCCTTGATCACCCTCCTGACCAGAGCAGAACAAGGTTGCTAATCCTACTCGCGTCGAGCCATAGAAATCCCGTGCAACTTGTGCAAGCGCTTGGAACCTCATACCTCCACGGCTCCAGACCCCTCAAATACAGCCCAATACAATCCGAAGCCTAAGTGACGGCCCGAGGACATGGTGGCAAGCGTTACCGGGATCAGGCGGGCTGCTGATTGGGGCCCTCGAATTCTACCATTCAAACCCGCAAACCCGCATTCACACTCATTGCGAGATTGAAGAGACCCCCGGATTTTTAGGGTGTGCAGTAGAACCAGAAGTTTAGGATTTCACCTCATGTCATGATGACTATCAGTTCATGGAGTTCACGTGGGCGGGGAATCAATGTGGAAAACGTTGGTAACGGCTGATTGTGTGTGCTCTGGTCCCCTGGGGCACCAGCACCTAGTGCTGCTGAACAAGTATAGACGATTCGCGCCAATGCAACATGGATACTAATCGGATACTATATAGGGTTGGTTCATCATGTTCATCTTCTTTGAGGCAAAGGTGTGCGGCAAGGTGCTGTGTCCTTAAGCCAGGGAGCCCTCGATCACTACGCTGCAGTGCTTCAGGTTCACAGACCAGGACCTCGACTTGGAGCAGTTGGGAGGGGAGGCCGGTGAGCAGTACGTACTTCAAACGTTTCCTGGGAAAAGTCCAGAAAAGGTGATGCTTCTGTTTTTGGTAGCCTTGCTTCGCTGCTGTATGGATGTTCTGGAAGGAAGTTCATCTCACCGCCCGAATCTGGCAGAGTCCACGTCATGCGGCCTGGACATTCCACGTAGAAACATCCAGAAATCGCCGAAAGTAGGAACTTTACCTAGTGGAGCTTCTTGCACTCAGGACCTAGAAGCCTAGTTAGTTTTCCTTTGACCCAAAGACCAGAACCTCAGCCTTGAATCAACCCTGTCCCCAGAGCATTCTGCTGGAAACTTCGAAGGTGCGTTGGACGCCACCTGCCCTGACGCAGCGCGTGCGCAACCCAGTACGGGGGTTTGTGGTTTGTGGTTGGACCACGGGTCAGGCTTGTGTCCTGGTCTTCCGGCATTCTGGCTTCAGGATTTGCTGTGCTGAGGAAGCAAAAAGCCTGCGTCTCCACTTAGGGCCTTTTACTCCTTGCATCAGTATTCCAGCAAACTCTTGCGAATCTGAAACTACGAATCGGAAGCACATATCCTTCAAGCAGGAGCGAACAACTCACAAATCAGAAGCAAAACCTAGCGAATCGAGGGCTCGTGCCATCAACATTTCTGACGTCCGCGAATCTGGACAACACACATGCAAAATCCGCACTCAGAGATTGTCAGGATTCATGGCTTCCTGGCAGCCGCTCTGTTAAGGGTGTTTGAAAGTTAAAGTATCTTCGGGCTGTCCCTAGTCAATTTCTCAACTTTTGCCCGTTGGGTGCTGAGGTTCAGGCATGTCGTTTTCGATTCCAGGATTTAGTTTACCTTCCCTGGTTGGCAGCACGAGGAGCCTCGGTTTTCCGATGCGCGCCTTTGGTTACAGAATTTCCCGCTTATTGGTATTGAGCTTTTGCACCACATGCAAGCCGCTGGACTAGATCCTAAGCTGAAGAGCAGGTGTACACCTACCGCCTGTACTTGGCGAACGACCCCACTGGTCTGGGAAGATCACAGATCGCCACTGATGTTCCTGAAGGTCTCCACCAGGAGATCTGGGGACTCTGAAGGCTTCAGGGACTTTTAGCTTTCTGCACAGTGGGAGAGTCGAAACACCCCATGGTGGACGCCTTCAATACAGTGCCAAAATCCAAGCTTACACAGTGAGCCACATGATGTTGAGAACAGAACTTATGGCTCGAGACGACAGTTCTCGGTAGATCCATGCCCACGTGACTGCAGGAAGACATCCTTCCGGATACCGGCGCATATCCTTTCGTGGCTGCTTGGCTGGGGTTCAGGGTTCAGGGTTCAGGCGAGGTATTGTTTACTTGTTTCTTCTTGTTTCTTCTTGTTTCTTCTTGTTTCTTCTTGTTTCTTCAATAAAGAGGAGCGCTTTCTTTTCGTGTTGGATGTGCCGGAACTCGTGCCACTCTGGAGAAAGTCGTGACCCCGTTGATTTGACCCCAAGGTGCTTCTTGCCTGAAGAAAGACTTGCGTTTGGAGCACAGAAGCCCTTTTCTTGGGGAGGGCTTCGTAAGAGGTCTAGTTCCCAATATTCACATCAACGTTGATACAGTCAGTGCCCAGCCAGGCCGTCTACACGCGGTCTTTGCTGGCGGAGCAAACCACTCCGGTGTCCTTGCTTCTTGAGGACAAGTATGCACCAGCCGGGCCCTCAGCCTCCGATGACTCAAGTCCCGCTTGGCCACTGCACGAACATAGCAAGTTGGCAAGAGCTGCTAGCTCAGCCAGACTACGGTCGCGAAGTCTCAAGAGGCCCCTGACCAACGGCATAAAACATGCAAATCCCGGAACATGAGTCACGAAAACGCTCATCCCAAGCTCCCCTCAGACCACAGCTCAAGGTCTCCAACATCAGTTTCCCGGACTTTGACCTGGACGCCACAGTCCCTTGGTCAGCCCTGTGTGTGAATGGATCGTGGGTTTAGTGCTTGGCGGTAGTTGGCGCACTGAATTACAGGTGCCAAAGCATGGCTCGCGTCCAAGCCATGAAACTCAAACCCCGGATCACGGACAAGTCTTCTTGAGGATACCATTTCTGCTCCAGGATCTGGGTGGCACACTGACCTGGGACCCTCCGGCGGACGAGAGCCAAGTGGAGCACTACGCCTCCTGGTGCCGTTTAGCGGCCCATTCGGCCTCCAAGATCCCTTCTGAGGCTTTCGGAGGGCTTTCCCCGAGGGTTTTTGGTTGTCATATTTCAGAGCTTCCTGGATCGGCTCCCAGGGCTTGATTGTTAAAGTGTTGGAAGACAAACGCTTGTGTGCTCAACTCTTGAGGTTCTTACGATACCATGCCTTCGAAGGAACAATTGGGGCATGGCATGAGGCTTGCGATCGACTAAAATACGTCGGTACAAACACTCTCAGGTCATTTATTTTGCCTGGATGACCGAGAACGCCTCGGCAGCTTGCTTGCACACGGAAGGACACAATCAGCAGCTCCGATTGAAGCTCACCTGTGTCACAGGCTACGTACTACGAACTGGTTTGTAGCCGATTGGTTCAAGATGGAAACAATTCGTGCCTGGGCTCTGGGCACATAACGCATAGACCCGCGTTAGTGATCTGCAAGGCCCAGAAGGAAAGGCTGAAGCATTCGGTCTCTTTGAAATAGCACTCATCCGTCACCATGCTGCCCATGAAGGCCCCATGGAGAGCCCGAGGGCCTGTGATTCTGTGCGATCGCTCGCGCTTTTCTTTGCATATAGAAGCATAGCATGAAGCTGAAGCAAGAATAGGGCACTTGTTGAGCGTCCAGCTCCACGGCCTCAGCTCTGAGGAGTGCCCGCAGGAAGGGGTGTCCGACACCTACGTGGCTGTCATTTCAGGCCGGAAAGAGCGAAACCCGAACTTCAAGTGGACTTGTCTGAGCAAATTGCAGCAAAAGTGTTCTGGCAGTGGGCCTTGCACATGCTGTGTGTACATGTCGACGTGGTCCTAAAGCACCTTTCGTGACCAGGCTCAGTGAACTTTGTTCTCGCCGGGGCGACGCAGAGTCAGGTGGAACTAGCAGTCAAGGCGCCTTGCCGACGAATGGTTTTGACTCCAGGGTTTTAGCATAAGCCCTTTATGGCCCTGTAATGTTTCTGTTGTTTTAGTCGGAGGCGGGGGGGGGGGGGGGGGGTTAGGAGGGGTCGGGGGTGGGAGGCCCAAACAAACCTGAAAACCTGAGCTGCCAGCCCATGCCTTCAGGGTCAAAAACCTCGAAGCCCGAAACATCAGCCTTCATGGACCCATGGAAATTCTTGTGAACTGTCAGCCACCTCCCACATTCTCCAGCAGTTCATTTTGTAAGCGCCGCTACACGAGCGACCTCCGCAACGAGGCGGCGCTGGCCTCCTCTCTGGGCGTGGACCCCGCCCACGTGGAGGTGTCCGCGTCTTTGGGCCGACGGCTCGCGAGGTCGGGATGTGAAATTTTAGTTCGAAGAAGAAAAGGCTCAGAGGAGTACATGCCCATCGAGGTCTACTCTGGTTCTGCTTGCATGGCAATTGCCCAACTCGTGAATTCATTTACGGCTTTCACGATCTAGTCATCCGGTAGTTAGGGAACGCAGGTTTCAGCAATGCTGTTTTTGCTCCCCTTGCTGCACGCTCAACATGCAAGGCAAGATCGGCGTCTCTCCCAGTCCTGGACAGTGCAGCTGGCTTGCACGCAGATGTCTTCATCATGCTCGGCTGTTCTGCGACGCTTGTTGTTGGATGTAGCAAACTGGCTACTGGTTCTGATCGAGTGCTGGAGTCTCGTAGGCTGAGACCCACCTTTCTTGCGCAGCCTTCTGAACAGATGTCAATGCCATTCTCGAGCAAAGGCAGTACCAGGTTTTGACTCCGATGGGCCAAGATGCCTCTCGGCTGCATCCGGCGCAGGCACCCATTGATGTCTGCTTCCATCGAGGGCTTCAAAAAGGGCTTAAAGCTTACTAGCGTTTAAGGAGCCATTCGTCGATGATAGTCGGGTGCGTCAGTGCATGCGCGGCTTTGTGGTTGGGCCGGTTGGGGGTCTTTGCTGAAGATAAAGCTCTCTCTTGGCTGGGAAGTTGGAAGCTGCTCTGACTTGCTCAGATGCGAAGAACGGAACATGGCGCACAAAGCTGTTCATCATCCGAAGGCCTATCATGCCCACGCTCCAAACTCGTGAAGTCCGAACCCCTGTAGCTTCCACGCGCAGGATTGTTTGCCAGTTCACGTGCTCTCTGTTTGATTGGGCTAAGGTCTTGATTCTGAACAAATAGAAGGTGAAGGTGGGTAGCCCTTTCGGACCTAGACCTTATATGGGTTGCCTCGGAGGAGGATCTTCCCGTTTCACTACTAAGGCGACCGTGCGGAGCGCCATCGAGACACTGAACAACCAGCCCCAGGACCAGAAGATCATTGTGAATTGCTCAAATAAGGGGGAGCGGGGGGGGGTAAATAGGGTTTATTTGGAAGCTGACAGTCGTGTTTACAAGAGGAAAACAGACCCCAAAACGTATACTTATTTACAAGAGCCAACTTCCAAATAAACCCTATTTGGGTTTCTGGGGGGCTGGGGGGTCAAGAATTAAATAATTTAAATAATTTTAATAATTTAAATGCCCCAGGTATTTAAATTATTTAAATTATTTAATTCCCGGGAGGCAGGGGGCCCGGACCCCCCCCCCTGGGGCATTTAAATTATTCAAATTATTTAAATTATTTAAATTATTTAAATTATTTAAATTATTTAAATTATTTAATTCCCCGGAACCACCCCCAATACTAAATTACGAGCCCGGGCCTCCCCCCAATACTAAATCACGAGCCCGGGCCTCCCCCCAATACTAAATTACGAGCCAGGGCCTCCCCCCAATACTGAATTACGAGCCCGGGCCTTCCCCCAATACTAAATTACGAGCCGAGGAATTAAATAATTTAAATAATGGACCCCCCATTTAAATAATTTAAATGCCCCAGGCATTTAAATTATTTAATTCGGGCCGGGGAATTAAATAATTTGAATAATTTGCATAATTTAAATAATTTAAATATTTCAAAGAATTTAAATGCCCGCCGGGGGGGGTCCGGGCCCCCTGCCTCCCGGTAATTAAATACTTTAAATAATCTAAATACCTGGGGCATTATTTAAATACCTGGGGCATTTAAATTATTTATTTCCCCGGCCCGAATTAAATAATTTAAATAATTTAAATGCCCCAGGTATTTAAATTATTTAAAGTTTTTAATTCCCGGGAGGCAGGGGGCCCGGACCCCCCCCCCCCCCCTGGGGCATTTAAATTATTTAAATTATTTAAATTATTTAAATTATTTAAATTATTTAGATTATTTAAATTATTGAAAATATTTAGTTCCCCAGAACCACCCCCGATACTAAATTACGAGCCCGGGCCTCCCCCCAATACTAAATCACGAGCCCGGGCCTCCCCCCAATACTAAATTACGAGCCAGGGCCTCCCCCCAATACTCAATTACGAGCCCGGGCCTTCCCCCAATACTAAATTACAAGCCGAGGAATTAAATAATTTAAATAATGGACCCCCCATTTAAATAATTTAAATGCCTCAGGCATTTAAATTATTTAATTCGGGCCGGGGAATTAAACAATTTAAATAATTTAAATAATTTAAATGCCCGCCGGGGGGGGTCCGGGCCCCCTGCCTCCCGGGAATTAAATAATTTAAATAATTGAAATAATTTAAACAATTTAAATAATTTAAATAATTTAAATAATTTAAATAATTTAAATAATTTAAATTCCCGCCGGGGGGGGTCCGGGCCCCCGGCCTCCCGGGAATTAAATAATTTAAATAATTTAAATACCTGGGGCATTATTTAAATACCTGGGGCATTTAAATTATTTAATTCCCCGGCCCGAATTAAATAATTTAAATAATTTAAATGCCCCAGGTATTTAAATAATGCCCCAGGTATTTAAATATTTAGATTTTTTAATTCCCGGGAGGCAGGGGGCCCGGACCCCCCCCCTGGGGCATTTAAATTATTTAAATTATTTAAATTATTTAAATCATTTAAATTATTTAAATTATTTAAATTATGTAAATTATTTAAATTATTTAATTCCCCGGAACCACCCCCAATACTAAATTACGAACCCGGGCCTCCCCCCAATACTAAATCACGAGCCCGGGCCTCCCCCCAATACTAAATCACGAGCCCGGGCCTCCCCCCAATACTAAATTACGAGCCAGGGCCTCCCCCCAATACTCAATTACGAGCCCGGGCCTTCCCCCAATACTAAATTACGAGCCGAGGAATTAAATAATTTAAACAATGGACCCCCCATTTAAATAATTTAAATGCCTCAGGCATTTAAATTATTTAATTCGGGCCGGGGAATTAAATAATTTCAATAATTTAAATAATTTCAATAGTTTAAATAATTTAAATAATTTGCATAATTTAAATAATTTAAATGCCCGCCGGGGGGGGGTCCGGGCCCCCTGCCTCCCAGGAATTAAATAATTTAAAAAATTTAAATACCTGGGGCATTATTTATATACCTGGGGCATTTAAATCATTTAATTCAGCGGCCCGAATTAAATAATTTAAATGATTTAAATGCCCCAGGTATTTAAATAATGCCCCAGGCATTTAAATTATTTAAGTTTTTTAATTCCCGGGAGGCAGGGGGCCCGGACCCCCCCCCCCCCCTGGGGCATTTAAATTATTTAAATTATTTAGATTATTTAAATCATTTAAATTATTTAATTCCCCGGAACCACCCCCAATACTAAATTACGAGCCCGGGCCTCGCCCCAATACTAAATCACGAGCCCGGGCCTCCCCCCAATACTTAATTACGAGCCAGGGCCTCCCCCCAATACTCAATTACGAGCCCGGGCCTTCCCCCAATACTAAATTACGAGCCGAGGAATTAAATAATTTAAATAATGGACCCCCCATTTAAATAATTTAAATGCCTCAGGCATTTAAATTATTTAATTCGGGCCGGGGAATTAAATAATTTAAATAATTTAAATAATTTAAATAATTTAAATAATTTAAATAATTTAAATAATTTAAATAATTTAAATAATTTAAATAATTTAAATAATTTAAATTTTCGCCGGGGGGGGGTCCGGGCCCCCTGCCTCCCGGGAATTAAATAATCTAAATAATTTAAATACCTGGGGCATTAGTTAAATACCTGGGGCATTGAAATTATTTAGTTCCCCGGCCCGAATAAAATAATTTAAATGATTTAAATGCCCCAGGTATTTAAATAATGCACCAGGTATTTAAATTATTTAAGTTTTTTAATTCCCGGGAGCCAATACTAAATCAAAAGCCCGGGCCTCCCCCCAATATTAAATTACGAGCCAGGGCCTCCCCCCAATACTCAATTACGAGCCCGGGCCTTCCCCCAATACTAAATTACGAGCCGAGGAATTAAATAATTTAAATAATGGACCCCCCATTTAAATAATTTAAATGCCCCAGGTATTAAAATTATTTAATTCGGGCCGGTGAATTAAATAATTTAAATAATTTAAATAATTTAAATGCCCGCCGGGGGGGGTCCGGGCCCCCTGCCTCCCGGGAATTAAATAATTTAAATAATTTAAATACCTGGGGCATTATTTAAATACCTGGGGCATTTAAATTATTTAATTCCCCGGCCCGAATTAAATAATTTAAATGATTTAAATGCCCCAGGTATTTAAATAATGCCCCAGGTATTTAAATTATTTAAATTTTTTAATTCCCGGGAGGCAGGGGGCCCGGACCCCCCCCCCCTGGGGCATTTAAATTATTTAAATTATTTAAATTATTTAAATTATTTAAATTATTTAGATTATTTCAATTATTTAAATTATTTAGTTCCCCAGAACCACCCCCGATACTAAATTACGAGCCCGGGCCTCCCCCCAATACTAAATCACGAGCCCGGGCCTCCCCCCAATACTAAATTACGAGCCAGGGCCTCCCCCCAATACTTAATTACGAGCCCGGGCCTTCCCCCAATACTAAATTACGAGCCGAGGAATTAATTAATTTAAATAATGGACCCCCCATTTAAATAATTTAAATGCCTCAGGTATTTAAATTATTTAATTCGGGCCGGGGAATTAAATAATTTAAGCAATTTAAATAATTTAAATAATTTAAATAATTTAAATAATTTCAATAATTTAAATGCCCGCCGGGGGGGGGTCCGGGCCCCCTGCCTCCCGGGAATTAAATAATTTAAATAATTTAAATACCTGGGGCATTTAAATTATTTAAATTATTTCATTCCCCGGCACGAAATTATTTAAACTATCGCGGCTCGACTTGGCCAAATTTTGCCGGGCAGCCTCCGGGCAAAATTTGGCCAATTCGGGCTGCCCTTCGTATGCGATTTGGCCAAATTTTGCCGGGCAGCCTCCGGGCAAAATTTGGCCAAATCGGGCTGCTCTTCGTATGCGATGAGAAATGCGCGGCTCGATTTGGCCAAATTTTGCCCGGAAGCTGCCCGGCAAAATTTGGCCAAATCCAGCCGCGCATTTCTCATCGCGTACGACGAGCAGCCCGATTTGGCCAAATTTTGCCCGCAGACTGCCCGGCAAAATTTGGCCAAATCGAGCCGCGCATTTCTCATCGCGTACGACGAGCAGCCCGATTTGGCCAAATTTTGCCCGCAGACTGCCCGGCAAAATTTGGCCAAATCGAGCCGCGCATTTCTCATCGCGTACGACGAGCAGCCCGATTTGGCCAAATTTTGCCCGCAGACTGCCCGGCAAAATTTGGCCAAATCGGGCCCCTGCATCTTCAA